CCCTTTGTGGCCTGCGGGCAGCTAATAGGTCACCAGCTGGACAGCCCTGGCCTAAGTAGTAAGGAAAGAAATGCTTTTGCAACTTGTCTGAGGGGGTCTCTTTCAGGAGCGGCTCAGGGGAATATTGGGGTTTCCCAGTAGGTAACAGAGAGCTTTTAAGGAGGCTTGCTTCATAATTGCTCTAAATGTTGAAGTCTTTGATTCTTTATAGAAGAGTTTATGTTCAGTTACAAAAACTGATGAAGTACAGGGGGAAAAATTACTGAAATGCAATTAGATTATGGCAGAATGCACATTCTGAAAGAATCACCTGTCTGTAACACCATGCTGGCAGTCTGAACACAGCAGAATTTCCTCTTGCTGCAGAGGACTAAATGCTCCTTCGGTATGCCAGAGTAGCTTGTATAGGAATTGGATTTCTATCATCAGGAATACATTTACAAATTAGCATCTTCTGTTACATAAAAGCTTGTTCTTCCATGAAATACTGAAAAGTTTAACAGTTACTTGAGATTTTCCACTGTTAATTTAAATGTCCTGAGAGAAAAGAAAGGATAGGATTGTGAAAGTAGCATTTTGCCTGATAACTTGTAGGTCTTTTTGCTGGTAAAGACTGACTATTTTCATCATTTTGCCTGATGCATTATTCAAAGTTTAGAAAACTGGAAGGGACAAATAAGACTTTCCTTCATTTCTAAAGCATCATAATGTTTCAGACTATAAAAAGATCTTCTTTGAGTTTGAAGAATGAACCTTAACTGATATGAGATTGACTAGGGATTGCTAGTAATGTTGAGTGTGCTGTATGATGAAACTGATATGGATATCTTAATCCAGGATGGTACTTTTTTCACAGATTTGAAATGTGTTGAATTCAAATGACTTGAGTATTTACTTTTAAGTAATTTTGGTTTCTCAGCTTGTTTTGCTCTTTTCTTACAGCAGCCTTTAAAATCCAGTTATTAGCATGTCAGCAATCATTTCAGGTTTTTTTAACTTATCTCATTAAAAAATTAATATAAAAATGCAGTAGCATTAAGGACATAAACAGACAAAACAATTGTACTCCTTGAAGGTGGGGGAGGGGACACCGCAGTTCAACTTTTCTGTCTAACTGTTTTGCCTGTTCACTGTACCCTTCAGTAAGTAGAGGCCTAACCGCAGTAGTTTACATGTGTTTAATATAGCTTCTTTTACAGCTGGATAGAAGCAGACAGGCAAAAGTTAAGCGTGTCAGCTACCATACTCTCACAAACAGTACGTCCTGACTTACCTTTAAAGCCGTGGAATTGTCTGTGTCTGTTCCCTTGATGTCCATTTGGATTGAATCCTTATCAAATTGATTTTATTATTTTTAAAAAGTCAGGTTTTTTAAAACATGTTTTAAGTTGTTATTGCCTATTTAAAACAAGCGTCTCCTCTTTCAGTAAAACAGACAACTCTGGAAGCCTGTCTTTGCTATGTAGTTTCCCTATTCAGCCACTAGAAACTCCTGTGCTGCAATAGCTGTTGCTGCTGTCTGCAGTAATGTGAAGTCCCCGTGCTTCAGTTGTTGGAGTTTGGAAGCAGTGTTCACTTTTTCTCTTTCTCTGAACATGCCACCTTCTTCTCTTCCATTGTGAGATGGGGAGACTGGGTAATGGCTCAAGGGTCAGGCTGGAGAAAGGGGTCCCTGCAGGGGCTTGCTCATGTGGAGTTGGGGTTCTTGAAGCTTCTTGGACAGTTGGGGTGAGGGAGGGGTTTAGGCAGTTAGGCTAAAGGGAAGGAAGATGCTTCAGAGCAGGTTCACAGAAGGACAGGTGCCCATGGGTTGAATGCAGTTAAGGCTCACTTGCCAACCTATAGGTAGTGCATATGCTTTGGGGGGGGTGTAGGGGCATGACCTTGGGAGTTCAAAAACCAAAAGAAACCAAAAATCAGGACTTTTAATATAATGACTTGGATCCTGGGGGCTGGCAAGATTCAGGTCTTTGTCTTCCCTCTCTTATTTTCCTCCCCTCAGTAGACTTTAGAAAAACACTTTACCTTTTGCTCTAAAACATTCTGTATTGTTTATAATGGCTGGAGAATGTTCAGAGCATTGTATTGAACTTCAAAGCACAAACATACTAAAACTTAATGGTGCGTCTCATACCACAAAAACCCAGAACAATAGCGTTACCCGAGATCTAGCTTTGGGACACATTTAGAATTTCCGGTTTGTGGTGTTTCCTTTTTACTCTTTTTTTATTTTTGGACAAATTTATGGTGTACTTCTAGAGCAAAATTGTTTGTTTAAAAAAAATCCTTGGTTTATAAACGAGAAAAAAGATGCCTCACCCACTAGAACTTCACACTTCTGGGAACCAGCTTATAAACAAGTATAAGGAGCTCCATCAACTCCTTAGATAGGCAGCTTTCAGTATTGAAGGAACTGTACATTTTTGGTATCTCTGAAGAAGCCCATTCTCACATCCTTCAGTTGGACTTTGTCACTTTTAACCTAAAATTGGCAAGTCTGTATGGTTTTTTTTAAGCTTAATCAAGAATTGCAAATAATGAGTCCTCCTTTTGTACGAAGGCAGGATGCAAGAGGACGTTTTGCTAATATGACATGGTATTTTGTGATTTAAGTGACTCCCACTTTGTTTTATCCTGTCCAGTGCTAAAGGATGAGGTGGATGTGTCATTTATCCCAAAAGATGGCTAGAAGAAAACGTCAGTTTGGTTTGAAGTCGGTGAACTTTTCCAATCCTGAAATGCCATTTTTTTTTTTTTTTCAAGCTGCTGGAGGTTTATATCATTTTTAAAAAGAAATGAGCTATAGTAGTAAAAGACTCTCTGGTTTGACCTTTTGGCGTGATACAAAACTCTAAAGAAACAAAAAAAAATTACAAGAAAGAGTCAATAAGTTTATAATTACTAAAGACATAAAAATTATGACCATGGAGTTGTCATCATGCTACAATCTGACTTTGCCTGAATACTGCCATGTTGGCATCAGGGTCAGAATTGCAAAATAGAGTAGCCTTATGTGAATAAATGCAGTCTGCATGGTATTTTCTGTTTAGTCCACCCTATATGCTACTGAGGCTCATTTCATGCTAAAAGAATCCCTTTGCCAAAAGACCAGAGACACCTCTGGGTATCAAAATATGGGCTCTACTTCAAAAACAAGGTAAAAGGAATCAGGAAGATTAGTGGGGTTTAAGGGTCTAGAAATAATTCTGTGTTTTATAGTGCTGCTCCCTGGCCATAGTAATTGTATCCGGTAATCAAGTAAAGATGTTGGAAGTTTTAATTTTACTATGAAATAAGGATCATACAATTTTACATTGACAGTTTGTTTCAGGTAATGTTCAGTGGATGTTTGAATAGTCGGAAGGTATGTGCACATTACTGCAAAGGTTTTGCCGAGCTCTTATATTTTAAATAGCTAAAGGTTGAATAGTTGCAACCTTCTTATGAAAAAGTGCTGCCAACATACACACAAAATGTTTGTTTCACAACTGCCCTTAGTAGTATGAATGTGAAATACAAAGCATAATTTATTATAACTAACTACAAATCAGCAGCTCCCGCATTTTTACAGTTTGCAGGTACATACACGGTACCATAGAAATAAATGCCCCTAAGACCCAAGGATCAGTGGAGCAGTACTTAATGGAAAAAATTATTCCATGTGGTGCTTCATCAGTGGCTCACTTATAAGAATGGAATAATCAATCATACTATTCTCCTGGAGCATTGAATAAAGCAGCAAATGAAGAATAATCGCAGTAGTCTGTCTGTCAGACGACAGTTTAGGCGTTGGTAGTGATCAAGCTTCTTCTTACTCTTTGTGTAGCTGCTAACAGATTTAAGGGAACATCTTTCTTGCAAGCTCTGATCTTGTTGACTGTGATGTCATGCTTGCCCACTGTGCTTTACGTATAACTTATTCCCATCTCAAACAATGTGCTGATACACAAGAATGTGAGTTTCTTGAGGGTGGGAATATAAATCTTCCACATAGAAGTCACAGCTTGGGAAGCTGGTACTGGCAACAGCTACCTTATGCAGGAAAGAAAGGTTGCTTGTACACATGACTAAAATTGCCCATTTTTGCAGTTTAATTGCATCATGCTGTACACATACAGGGGTTTTTTTTGTGATTTTAAATGCGTTTGTCCCACTGCATACTAAACCACATCTACATGTAGTTTTGTTTGCAACATAGCTTTTTGTAGCTGGGGCAGCATCCAGCCTGCTAGCAGCCCACCCGGGTGGGCCCTGGGGGTGCTGCTGCCGCAGTTCAGGGGGCTGTCTGCAGTTCAGGGGCTGCTCAGCCCACCAGCAGCTCGCCCCCCAGCTGTGGGAGACTCAGGCAGGCTCCGCTGAGGGTGGGGAGGATTGGGTCTATCGCTGCAACAGGGATAGAAGCCCCTAAATTGGAATGGTAGGCTTTTAATCGCCACAATTAAACGCACCTTTTCAATTTAGGGGCTAAACCCCCATGACATATACACGTGCCCAAAAGTGTTAACTCAGTAGGGGCAGTAACTCATCTTTTCCTTTTTATTGTGAAAAAATATTTCAGGCCATCTAAACTAGTGGTTTTGAAGCTTTTACTTAGCATCTTCCTATGTCACTCCTCTTAGCATGAGCCATTCTTAGATACTGGTTCTTTCTGGGGCAGGAGAAAAGTGGGAATCCTTCAACTTTAAAGTTTGGAGTGATGTGCAGTTGCAGCAGTGCACACTTGCAAAATGATGCCATGCTCAGACTTAAGCATGTATACCTTAAGAAAGTATACATTAAACCTTTTCTAATCCTAGTGTTTTTCCAAAAATTTCTCTGGTGGGGAGAGGGGAGTGGTGTGTGTGTGTGTGTGGGGGGG